AAATAAACATTTGAAATATATGAGTTTGTATGTAATGTATGAATATAATATACAAGTTTCACTTTTTAAATGGAATTACTGAAATAAATCTACTTTTTCATGATATTCTAATTTTATGACCAGCACCTGTAGTCATCGTATGTCCATCCAAGACATCATCATACTGATTGTAACCTACTGAATTGATTTGAAATTAGTTGAAATCATATCATGACAGACTTTGTGTAATTGAGAAACATATCATCCTAACAGATCAATATAAAATCATGTGATAAAGCTGCTGATTTACAGCCCTACATCTTCACAGCTGCTCCATGTTGTGATTTAATCTGCTGGAGCACATTTTACAAATAAAGATAGGCAGATTTGGAGCAGTTTATTATTTAGCATGAGCGTATTAATTTTACGGAGCCCGCAAGGGGGCATGCAGGGATTTCTTTCTTCTGCGTAACCTTGCAATTTTGCGTTCCCTCTCAAAACCAACTGTGCCATTGCCTGTTGTGCCTGCCTGTTTATTAACAAATTTATATGCTCATCATAATACAGGAGTTAGCTACTACTTTAATTCAGCTTCAGAATGAACATGTCACCATGGAGTTATATTTAGCTAATATGCAGATATTTAACTCAATGCAGACACACATTATCACTGTCAATTTCCCCAACTTCCCCAACACATCCTGCTTCAGTAATTGGATATTTCAAAATAAAAGTCTGATTTAATACAATCTATGCAAAGCATTAAACTTTTGCTTGGGAATGCAAAACAGTATTGCGTGGGTATTACGTGGGAACACCAAAAGAACCCCCCCCACACACACACACACACACACACACACACACGCGTACGTCTCATTGTGGTTATCCATAGGTTTTAGACCTGGACATGTGCCTCAGATGTTTTCTGTCAGATCAGCATTGAAATACAGCTTTAGTTCTCATGAGACGAGTAGAGACACCCAACAACTTTGATTATTTTAAGAGAAAAGTTGCGCAACTTTTTAAAAACACATTAAAAACTGAAGTGATGGTGCTGTGGAGGTGAGACTCAGCCRGGTGACATGCCACCTTAAAATGGCTAAAACCTTGTACACTTGCAGCATTTCCTAAATTAAGTTAAACAAAGCAGCAGTTGTTTCAGTGTTCTACATTTTTAAATAAAAAAAACAGTAAACAAGACTTATAACTATTCTTTTGTTCCAGTTTTCATTAACTTCAGATTTTTCAGCTCGTCTGAGTCGGTCAGCTGTTGGTTGATTATTTGGGTATAATTTGTTTATTTAATACTACTTTATTTATGAATCACTTTAAAACCACCACAGCTGCAACAAAGGGCTGTACATATAAAACTAAAATCATGAAAAACACAAAGCAAAGATTAAAAACAATAAAAGAATAAAATAGGAATAAAACAAAGACTAAAAAAAGTCTCAGGCTGTGCTAAAACCAGGGAGTGCAAATGTGTTTTTAGAAGAGTTAAAAGCACCATTTACAGCTCCATGTGTCTGTTTTTGTTCTGTTTGGGTGATTTTTGTTTTGTGATTGGATTTTAAAGTTTCCTCTGTCTCCAGTGACCTTCTAGTTTGTTCCTACCTGCTGTTTTGTACGCATCACGTCCTGCTCCCAGCTCATCAGTTTTAATCATCATCACAGGTTTTTCTACAAAGCAAATGACRCGACTATAAGTACTAAAGTTAAAGTTTAAGTCAGTGAAATGTAGAAGCCTTTATGTGAATCAGATATTCAAACAGAAAACCTTCTGAACTCTACTCACTGTGTTGTTTAGCAGATGTAGTAGATTTATAATCACAGTAATGTTTCAAACTGTTTATGAATATTTCAGGTGCTGAAGTGTGCAGATAATTAATACGTAGTTCTGATCTATATTTATCAGGGGGGACGTCATCTCCAAGGCTGGAGCAGAGGAAACGATCCTGTACGCTGACATCGGTGAGTGAAGGACATGAACTGTTGTGTGAGCTGCGGGTGAACCGTTCTGTAACATTCAGCACATCTTTTATCAGAGTGAAAGACAGACAGCTGGATGATGTTTCWATGTGTGGATAGATTTTCTTTAAGCCTGTTTCTTACTCAAATTGTTTGAAAATAAAACACTTTCCTGACCTTCTTGCCTTCTTTCTGTGAAGGCATGGGTGCATCAGATTCATCACTTTAATATTCAAAGATCCAAATAATTCAGTCTCTTAGACTATGAGGCAGCAAGTATTTGACACTAAACTCAAGTTGCCAACTTTGAGCTTTTAGGAAACAGAAACGTTTTTCCCCGGGAGTTATTTATATGAAAATGAAATGGTTTTCCTCTAAATCATGGGAGTCAAACTCATTTTCCAGGGTTCCTGCGGTTCCATAAAAAGTCTTTAAAAGCATTGAATTCATTAAACCAAAAATAAGGCCCTAAATAACCTAAAAATATCCTAAATATTTCAGAGGGCTTAAAATATTAACACATTGTAAGTTGGGTGATTGTAATTGGTCTCAGATATTAAAATAATTAATAATATGTATCAATGTCAATAGTTTACCTCTCGCAGCTGGGTGTCTTGTGTTAAAATAAGCATTTTGGTAAAAGTTTCGCTAACTGGGTTTATCCCCATTTGTGTTTACTGTGAAGTTGGTTTTAAATTTAATTTCACATAGAACTAAGTATGGAGAGCCATTTTATTCAAAATACAATAAATAAATAAATAAATAATGCAATTAATTAAGTATTAATAAATATTCCATCAAATACATAAATGTCCCCATGGGGAAAAAAAGAAAATTAATATATTGTAGGCCTAATACATTTTTAGCATGTGTCGTCGCATGAAAGCAGAAACACGTTGGAATAATGCCAGAAAAGTCTGCGTGTATGGTCGTATTAAATGATTTAATTCTGAGCAGCAGGCAAACAGGACTCAATCAYGAAGCCCTGTCGGCGCGTCGCTGACACGTCAGCGGGCACAGCCAATAATATACACCATGATAACATCATATGACGTGCTTATAACCAATCACAGAT